GCGTTTCTACAAAACTCTAAATGATGCGGAAAACGCTTAGGTGTGAACCTAGGGTAAAGCTGGTTCACCACAGAATCTCATGCATCTGTGCATGGTAGCCAATCGGCTACTAACCACAGCTTGTTCATTTAAGCTTTGGAAATAAAACCTGGAAGCTGATTGGTTTCTCTGCAGAAGTGCACCAGATTTAGTAAATTATTATTATTATACAGTATATAGCGCCAAAGGGTATGCTCAGCTCTGTACATTATAGTGGGGGACAGAACATTAGACAGTACAGTAACAAAAATACATGAGGGGTTCTCGGGCCCTGCTCTTTCGAGCTTACAATCTAGGAAGGAGGGGAAGGTGGCACAGGAGGAGATGGCTGAGCGGGATGGAGTGGTGGGTGGAGTGGAGGAGGTTAGTTGTTAAATAAACCCCAGTATGTCGTAGTAGAGATTGCTCTGTCATTACAGAGCCCTTTTTTTCTGATAATATGCACTAGCCCCAGGGTATCTTCTTCAGCTGTAACCAGGCCATAAATCTACCTAGCTAAAAATAAACTCATGAATGCCAGCTGCTCCCACAAGCTTGACCTGTGTACATGTGAACTGAGCCTGACCTGCATATTTTTAATATACTTGGTATATTGTAAATAAACTACTCCTACATTAGAAATTCAGCTCTTCAGTTGTTGAATCATCAGATCCCTCAGTTTGAACAAATAGTGAAAGCTGAGTTTGTTGCGTTGAATATACAGTAAAACGACCTAAGGGCAACCCTATTTGAGCTGTGACGTTTAGTTTGGGTAGGACTTTCTGTTGCTCCTGGCGGAGGAGTGAAAGTAATGCTGGTCATAGATGATTTGAAAATCGGCCGATTTTTTCGGCCAATTTTCGCACTGTTAGTGGGTTAATTGGTCGGGTTTTTTTTTTTTTTTTTTTTTTTTTTTCATCGGTCATGTTGGAAAATTTGCGGCTGATTTTCCCGGAAATGATGGGCAAATCGGCCGATCGTTTTACCGATTAAAAAAAATCTGCACATGAGCTGTGACCTGCAAGGGACAGAAGTTATGGGGTGAACTTTATGATTTAGGCAGCTGATTTTTTTTTTTTTTTTTTTTTTAGCGTTGGTGGTAACATCGGCCGAACGAACGACCAATTTTTCGGGGGTTTTTTTTTTTTTTTTTTTTTTTCGAAAAATCGGCCGATGTTTGACCCGTCTATGGCCTGCATAAGGTAGACATATGCTACTGAAGCAGGGCTTAGTTAATGTGAACCTGTTACTTTGGCATGAATGAGGCCCCAGGCAGTTCTCCAGTGAATAAAGACATGCTGCTGAATACGTCAATAAATGTTTCTTCGCCTTTTTCCTGAAATTTATATTGCAGTTAAAGTGGAACTACACTGCCTCTGAGCAGCACAAGCCAAAAACATAAATTTTAAGCAACCCCCCCATCATTCATCCATGTCTTCATGCTTTAATTTGCTGAGAAATCACTTTGAACCCCCCCCCCCCCCAATTGGCATTTCCTTTCTGAAATTCATCTGCCCTTATCTCCAGCGTGCAGGCAGAAGAGTGTGCTTAGCTGAGAAAACACCTACTTCCCTCCTGAAGATTCCTGAAATGAATGACATTTGCCTAGGCATAGAAACCTGGAAGTAATGGAAGAAAAGTTTGAAGAAAAAAAAAAAGAAAGTTAAAGCAAGTTATTATGATTAGGGCTGCGACTAATGATTATTTTCATAATAGATTATTTGGCCAATTATTGTTTTGATTATGCGATTAATTGGATAAAAACCCCTTAAAGTTTGGAATATAATTTAGTCAATATGCAAGGTTTAACCGCATTCCCGCCGCCCTATAGCAGATCTACTACTACAGGGCATCGGGCGCACAAAATCGTGTGTGTGTATATAATATATATATGATTCTGCATTTCCAATTAGGGGGCACTCGAGCCCTACCCACGCTGCCATTTGCGGTCGCAGCTGTCAATCACCGGGTCCTGGTTGATGATTACTCGCCGGTGTCCAGTGATTGCCAAGCATCTCGGACGGGGGTCGGGGGGGAGCACTGTCTGTAAACAAGACAGTTCTCCTCCCTGTCAGCTTTTGCACACTGCTTTGCATGGCTGTGCAGAGCACAGCCATGCAAAGCAGTACGCTAATAGTGAAGCACTATCACACAGCCCCTAGTACACAGTTAACCCTTTGATAACGCCACATGTTAACCCCTTCCTGCCCAGTGCCATTAGTACAGTGTCAGTGCTTTTTATTAGCACTGATCACTGTATTGGTGTGACTGGGGATGTCAGTGACACCAAGTCAGTTCCCACAATATCAGAATTTTCGCCACAGTCCCGCTATAAGTAGCTGATCACTCCCATTACTAGTTAAAAAAAAAAAAAAAAAAAACAGTATATATTTATTGCCATTTGTAAACGCTATAACTTTCATGTAAACCAATTAAGTTACACATATATTGGGATTTTTTTTTTTAGCAAAGACATGTAGCAAAATTTATGACAAAATTAGATTTTTAAAAATTTTTTACTGAACATGTTTAATAACAAAATGTCGAAAATATTGTGGTTTTTTTTTGGTTTTTTTTATAGCGCCAAAAAATAAAAACCGCACAGGCAATCAAATACCACCAAAAGATAGCTCTATTTGTGGTAAATATAAATAACCAGCTATATAGTTGGGGAACAAAATCTCTAATCCACTATTGAGTGTTTGAGCTGTATGTTTGCTGTACTGTGTATACTGACATGTCTGGACAATGTACCGAGCTGTATGTGGGCTGCGCTGTATTTTCTGATATATAAACAAATAATGCATTCTGTATGAAGGCCAACTAATCGGCTGACCAACTAATCAATTATGTAAATGGTTGATAACTGTTTTCATAATCGATTAGGTCAATTAGTTGTTTCAGCCCTAATTATAATATACCTTCGATCCATTTACTGATGCTAGCAGTATAAGTAGTCAGTGCTGATTGAGAGAGTGAAGTTCAGCTTTATTTACCAAGGTGCTATAATTTTTTTTTTTTTCTACACTGAAGTAGGCATGGCCTCTGTAATCCTAATGCAACCACTTGAAGATTAATTCCACACAGTTAGGCTTGTTTTATTTGCGTTTGACATGCCTGACTTAATGCCAAGCAGTGAAAGGTGAGCCCAGGGTGTAAAAAGCATTTGCCCTTATGTCCTGGTTTCAAATTTTATTCCAAACCACTTCCAGGGCTCATTGGCTTGTTCCTTTTTTCTGAATGGGCATTAGAGATCTCCGTTAAGTGTATCATGAGTATGGCAACATTTTCCTGGTCTTAGGAGTGGGCTACAGCAGAAATTTATTCTAGACAGTTGTTGAAAAATGTCTGAGCAGTGTTGGCCTTTTAAATCTGTCATGAGAGAAATGTAGGCTTCCATTACTGATCCTTGATTGAAAATGCTGTCATCTTGTCGTGATCATGCTTTGGCTTTAGTAGCTGCCTGAAATGACTTTCATTTGTGCTTACTTGTTCCTAGTAAGTAAATTAGAAGTAAGACACAACAGATGGCCAGCAGTGGCAGCCTCAAGCTTTTTATGAAGTTCTTTTTTTTTTTTTTTTTTTTTTAGTGGTATTGAATCCAAATGCAAACATGTAATATATTGCAGATTCTTAGCTGTGATGGCTGCATTCATTTTTAGGTATTTTTTTCGTTTATTACCTGGTGATCTGGCCAGTAAGTCTGTTGTTTTTCAAAAGAACAAGTTGTCCTGTAGATGTAGCAGTTACAGGATGTGGAAAATCATTTGCCATTGAAAGGGATGCTTACAATGATCAGATTTTATTTATGTGATTTTATTTATGAAAGGGACCATGAAGACCTCAGTCCACTTACTCTGGCACTGCCCTAAACTTCATCCATATTGGAAGTGGATTGGTGGATATGCTTAACCGTGTATTCCAGGCCACTATACCTTTGGACCCTAGATGCTGCTTGTTGGGAATTTTGGGAGATATGAAATCTAGGGAATTTACCTGCTTAGCAATTTGTAGAGCCCTATTTTTAGCTTGCAAATTACTCTTGATACACTGGAAATCCTTTTCCTCCCTGAAGGTGTGGATTTGCTCTGTAGGAGATGCACTTCGCCTGGAGCGCTTTATATATCCGCATAGGGGTTGTCCCAATACATTTAGGTTATGGGGACCGTGGCTGGATACCCTGTAGAACTAGTGCAAATGCGGCTGTTGTAATGTCCTCAGGGTTAGAGAGTTATCTAGGGCTTGTGTGGCGAGTTGTATTTCCATAATGCCTGTACAGAACTTGTACGCTATGATATCTGTACATGATCTTTGTCGGAACTGACACTGGACTGTGTAGTTTGCATGGTTTCAGACGGCTGTATCACTGTTTGTATTTTTCAATAGAACTACTTTTGAATAATACTTCATGTTCCCTTGAAAGATTTTCTAGTATTATTCCTAGTCTTTTTTTTTTTTTTTTTTTTTTTTCTGCTGGCTAGTGTCAGGGTCACTTTTAAAAATTACAACGCTTTTAAAAATAGCATTAGTACCTGAATGTGTTTTGAAAGCAGCCTCTAGGAATCTACTGCACAGCAACATTCTCACATGGTGAGTTCTATGGCTTTGAGCAAGACTGTTAGTCACAATACAACACAATTACAGGACACTGCATAGCTTAAAGTGGAACTCAACCCTCCTTATCCTTTACAGCCAAGGAAGCTGCCATCCTCTCCTCTGATGGCTTGATGTTGAGTGCTGAAGCAGCTGTGACGGCTATCATTCATGGCATGTCTTTAACGTAATTGTTTTGGGAAACCATTTCATCCATTGGGTTTTCTGCTTTGAGTGCAGTGTAGTCTGAACAGAGGATACCAAGATGTGATATCTGGAAAGGGTGGTTGGTTCACATGATTGGAATAACAGACATTTAAATCTTTTGGCTGGTAAAATAGCTCACACTTTATTTTCAACTGTGTATTTAGTATTTTACCTAGAGTTTAAAGTGTTACTAAACCCAGGACCCTGCATTCACTCTATCTGGTCTCCCACAGTACACATAACATGGAAATTCAATTATTTTAGTAAATATAAACTGCTAAATACTTTCTCATCAGCTGTATATTGTAGTCTTGTGACTTCTATTAGTGTCCAGCTGAGCACTGGTTAAAGCTTGTAGGAGTTTTCATTCTTCTCTGACTGTCCTATGAGGGTGTATGACCCCTGACCCTCTGTCTGGAAAGTGCTGATTGGCCCTGTGCTGATCACATGCACCCTCCCAAAGAAATAAAAAAAAAACCTCTAGACATACACACTAAACTAAGCATGTGCAGAGTGACTCCTAGAGCTCTGTACTGTCAGCAGATGGATTGGGGACAGTAGAAGGGAGGATCAGAGAAGACTGGATCAAGCAGCCTTTTTACACAATGCGAAGGATTAACCCCTTAGGTTTCACAGTGAGTATAACAAGCATGCTTTACTGCATATACAGACTGATTTTACTGTTGTGGGTTTAGTAACACTTTAACATTGAAGCAAACTGTTTTCATTCTAAAAAAAGAATATCTTTTTTTTTTTTTTTTTTTTTTTGCAGCTGAACGGGCTCTGGACACTATGAACTTTGATGTGATAAAAGGAAAACCCATCCGCATTATGTGGTCACAGCGGGATCCATCTCTTAGAAAATCTGGTGTAGGCAATGTTTTTATAAAGAACCTTGACAAATCAATTGACAACAAAGCACTTTATGACACTTTTTCTGCATTTGGCAACATTCTTTCATGTAAGGTTAGTTTGTGACCTTGACATTTTTGCCTACTAATATTTGGGATGCATTTTTTGAGATACCAAGGACTCCTCTAACACCCACTCTCCTACAGGTGGTGTGTGATGAGAATGGCTCCAAGGGGTACGCTTTTGTGCACTTTGAGACACAAGACGCTGCAGACAGAGCCATTGAGAAGATGAACGGCATGCTGCTGAACGACCGCAAAGTGTGAGAGGAGTTGTGCTGGGAGGGGTTGTAGAATGTGCACTTTTTTCTAGGAGTTTTTAGTGGGTTTTATCATATCTGTTTAGTGTACACTGAGGAATGATTTTTACAGGGAAACAAGCTTCAGTCAAATTGTGGTTGACATTTATGCTTGGGCATGAAGTGTTTAAAATGGGACTTTATTATTAATGGATTGCTGCTGGTATGCAATACTTTTACTGCCCTATATTCCTGTATGTCTGCTTTTTGTGTGGGCTCTTAATTTAAATCTGAAATGTACTTTCTGCCATACCTAAGCAAAGCATTGCTGCAGTGTTTCTTCCAGGGTATTTGGGAATAACTGCTTTTACTAAACATTTACAAACGTGGTGCAAAATATTTGTGATGTTTGTTTTGCAGATTTGTTGGGCGTTTTAAATGCAGACGGGAGAGGGAGGCAGAACTTGGAGCCAAAGCCAAGGAATTCACAAATGTTTACATCAAGAATTTTGGAGAAGATATGGATGACGAGCGACTAAAGGAGACTTTCAGCAAATACGGTACCTGAGTGAATTTCTGATCCCAATAAGTGGGCACTTGCTTCTGGCTTAACGTGTGAATAAACTCATGAGCTCCTTGGCTCTGCCCGTGCATGTGGGCATCTGGTTTCACGCATATGCCGTGGTTAACCTATTGAGTTCTCTGACTCTGCTCCCGCATGTGGGCACCTGGTATCATGCGTGTGCCGTGCACCTGCATGCTGTGACCCTGTGACCTCTGTGGTTAACTGGTGTCTCTTGGCTGTAGGCAAGACTCTGAGCGTTAAGGTGATGACTGACCCCAGTGGCAAGTCCAAAGGGTTTGGCTTTGTCAGCTTTGAAAAACATGAAGATGCAAATAAGGTAAGAGCTCCCTTGGAGGACCAGGCAGACAGAGAATGTTTGCAGGGGAGTGCCAGGTGCTCGGGAGCTCTACAGAACTTGTGCTATTCAATGTGGTGGCCTGTATCTCTGATTTCTCTAATAAACTGTTGTTTGCACTAGGCCGTGGATGACATGAATGGAAAAGATGTCAACGGAAAGGTGATGTTTGTTGGCAGAGCACAAAAAAAGGTTGAGCGACAAGCAGAGCTAAAACGGCGATTTGAGCAGTTGAAGCAAGAGAGAATCAGCCGCTATCAGGTGTGTGTAATTAAATATAAAAAAAAAAAAAGTGTTTCATTTTGATTGACAGATGACATTTATCAGTCTTTAAAATGACCGTGTAGTAAATGAACTGGTTTTTTTTTCGATTAGCACACTCAAAAACCGTACTTGGTACCTGACATGGTTGCTTGGGGCAAAGTGGAAGGTTCTTTTCAGACCGTTTTTAAGAAATGTTGACTGGAACAGCATCATGCTATTAAAGCAGAGAATGCGTAGAATAGGAAGGACAGACCAAGTCTGGTCTCACAAATTCTTATTGGCATGCACAAAGTAGTGTGACTTGGTCTAATTCCTCTGGTCAATAACTTTGTTGCCATTCACTGTATTCCACTGGAACAGAGTCTGGCCCAAAATGAGAGCCACATAATCAATATAACTACTTGTGCCATACTCATAAGCACAGGGGCAAAATTTTGGCCCCAGTACATACATCTAATTTGTGTGTGTGTGTGGGGGTTTTTTTTTTTTTTCCCTGGAGTTAGAAGATTCTATGAAGAATCCTGGTTCAGTGTGATGGAAATGTTACATCCCAAACTTAAGGAGAAATTTTCTCAGTCATTAAGTAAAATTTTTCATTAAAAATGTTCCACTTGACTGCTCTGTTTAATACCATTTCACAGAGCAGTTCCTTACCTCTTCTTCTGGAGTCCTCTGCAAGCACTCACTGCCTCCAACAGCCTCCCCAATCAGTGTGCTGAGGGGACACCCGTGTGAGCGTGCTCCCAAGCCGGGCATAGACACACAATGTAAAGGGTCCAGGTTTTTTTACCTTCATGCATTCTATGCATGAAGGTAAAAAACTTTCTGTGCAGCTGTACCTCCAGCCCCTCCTAATATTTACTAGAGCCCCATCATGATCCAGCGATGTGCATCAGAACCTCAGCTGTCCTTGGTCTCTGCATCCTCATTGGTTCACAGCCAGTGAACCAATAAGGAGAACAGAGGGTGCGGGGCCGCTGCTCTGTTTGTGAATGAGCACAGAGTAGCAGCTTGGGAGTGCGCCTGCTCGGTTGCCCCCATAGCAAGCTGCTTGCTATGGGGGCACCCGACAGGAAGGAGAATCCTGGAGCACCGGTGAGGGACCAGAAAAGAGGAGGATTGGGACTGCTTTGTGCAAAACCACTCCACAGAGTATGACATGTTTGTTATTTTATTAAAAAAAAAAAAAAAATTGAACTAACTTTTAGTATGAAAATGGCTTTGAAAATTATATTAATGTGTTAAAGCTTATGTTCAACTTCAGTGACTGGGTTCTCATATACTTTAGGAGGCACTAATTGATATTCGTGTTTGGGCGATGCTGGATAGCTAAACCACCTGACAGGTTCGCATATTTTTGGGGGATTCTATTGGTGAGATGTATGCCTCAATTTGGACTCCTGTTGTGGCCACTGTGACAGACTGCTGCTCTCCCTGTAGATTTCACATTTATTTTTACTAATAATACAATAGGAGTTGTTTAAAACATTCATGTGGATTATCACATCCAAAACATCCAACAGAGTTGGTATCCTACCTATCAGAAGTCGGTGTTGACAAAGCTCACTCAAAATCCACCTATTGCTAAGCTATCCATATTGGCTGTATCACATTTGTTTTTCCAGATATTCATCCAGCTTTGTAGTTGATCCTAAAAGTCATTTAATTTAAATAACTGTTGTATTATACAGTGTTTTGTCTGTCATAGCTGTACAATTCCTTAGACATGCTAATAGTTGGTTTCTTGTTTGTTCACAGGGTGTAAATTTATATATTAAAAATCTGGATGATACAATTGATGATGAGAAGCTGCGGAAGGAATTTTCTCCATTTGGGTCGATAACAAGTGCCAAGGTGAGAGGAACTATTTACTGGGTAATAGAAACCATTTGTGAACATTTTTGATTTAATCATGTCGCCTGTAAATTTAGCCTTTTGACAGTCAAAATATGCACTGTAAACTCAGCCTTTCCCTGCTGTGTAGTGTAGGGGGAGGTTTTCCAGTGCAAAAAAAAAAGCTGAGGAAATCCAGACGGAGCATGTTTTACCTTGTGTTCAGTCTCTACACCTTTGCAACATGAAAACCATCCCTTGGTGTAAGTGTACCAAGCAATTCTGTATATGTAAAACTCCTGCCTTTGGACTGTCACTACAACTGTATGCTGTATGCGTTTTATTCTCTTTCAGGTAATGCTGGAGGATGGACGCAGCAAAGGATTTGGATTTGTTTGCTTTTCCTCACCTGAAGAGGCCACTAAAGCAGTCACTGAAATGAATGGAAGAATTGTAGGCTCTAAGCCTCTCTATGTAGCACTGGCTCAAAGAAAGGAAGAAAGAAAAGCTCATCTTACGAATCAGTATATGCAACGTATAGCTGGAATGAGGGCCCTGCCTGCCAATACTCTAATTAGCCAATTTCAACCAGCACCTGGAGGGTACTTTGTACCAGCAGTTCCGCAGGTTGGTTTATTATCTGAAAGTAGCCTTAAAGGTTTAAATTGCAAGGTCTTACATTTGTGTAATTGGATTTAACTCTTTTCAGGCTCAAAGCAGACCTGCATACTATGCGCCTAATCATATAGCTCAGATGCGCCCTGGCCCACGATGGCAGCAAGCAGGACGTCCTCAGGGTAAGCATTTAGGTGTGATTCCCAAGGGATGGGTCACTCACCTAAGTTTGTTTTTGTGTTTTTTTTTTTTGTTTTTTTTTTTTTTTTTTTGTTTTGCTATATGTAATTAATGTACATTCACAGAAAACCATTATAAATAACTGGATTATAGAAAAAAGTACAACTAACATTAATCAATTGCCTCTATTGTCAATGTAGTCAGAATTTTGGAGAAGCATTCTTGCAGGGAAACCCACTCTGACAAACTTAATTGTG